ATCACAGTTAACACTCACCTACATAGTAGCCATCACAGTAACACTCACCTACTATAGTAGACATCACAGTAACACTCACCTACTATAGTAGACATCACAGTAACACTCACCTACTATAGTAGAAGTCACAGTAACACTCATCTACTATAGTAGCAATCACAGTAACACTCACCTACTATAGTAGCCATCACAGTAACACTCACCTACTATAGTAGCAATCACCGTTAGACTCAACTACTATAAAAGCAATCACAGTAACACTCGCCTATTATCGTAACCATCACAGTGTCGCTCACCTACTGTTGTAGCAATCACAGTAACACTCACGTACTATAGTAACATTTACAGTTACACTCACCTACTATAAAAGCTATCACAGTAACGCTCATCTACTATAGTATCCATCACAGTAACACTCACCTACTATAAAAGCAATCACAGTAACATTCACCTACTATAGTAAAAATCACAGTAACACTCACCGTGGACACAGACTGTCGTTCTCAGGCTGTCCATGGCCTGCACCAGCAGCAATGCCATTGTTACGCTGGTCACACTCATCTGCAGTCACTGCGTTTTGCTGAGCGACCAATGGGATGGTACGCAAATGAGAAGGTCCATGTAGAATGGTTGCTTAGTGTGGTAGGGTAAGGTATGCGTATATAGATTGTGAATTTACGTATTAACTCGACACAAAGATTTAGTTATATGGGATTCATGAGCAGCGCACCTGAATATGAAGTATATATAAACTCGTAACCAACACGTTAACTCACAACCAGTACATAAACTCATAACCAATAAATAGACTCATAACCAATACATAAACTCATAACCAATACATAAACTCAAAACCAATACATATCTATACGCCCCCGCCTACGCATACCATTGTGTTGTTGAGGATATCAGGACAGTGACGTTCTAGCAGTCGATGGGTGCGGACGGTATCAAACTGTTTCAGCAGCTGTAAGAAGTTCGGTACACTTTCGCGTTGTGCAGCGGATAGGCGTGCGCGGTGTTGTGTAGTCTGCGGGCGCCGCGAAAATATATGCGTCACCAGCTCGTTTACTCCGCCGTTACTCCTTCGAGTGCTCTGGAGTAGATCTGACTCCGGAATGCGAATGGAATTTCCCGTCACGGTGGAGTATATGAATAGAAATCAGAAGCACCGGACTACAAGCTGGGGTTCAGGAACGCACCACAGAGCAGAGCAAACAATTAGCAAGTGGGTGGATATATATTTGTCAATAGAATTGTGGTAGGTATATGCATATATGTCCATAGAATTGTTGTAGGTTAATGTATACGTGTCAACAGATTTTGTGTGGGCAAATACTTACCTGTCAACAGATTCATTGTAGGGAAATGTATACGTGCCACCAGACTTATTGTATGTAAATGTATATGTATCGATAAATATTTTGTAGCTAAATGTGTACATTTCAACAGATTTGTTGTAGGTAAAAGTATACGTGTCAACTGATTTGTTGTAGGTATATTTATATGTGACAATATATATTTGTAGGTAAATGTATACGTGTTGTCAGATTTGTTGTAGGTATATGTATATGTGTCAATAGATATTTTGTAGTTTAAAGTATATGTGTCAACATATTTTTTGTAGGTATATGTATATGTGGCAATATATATTTTGTAGGTAAGTGTATATGTGTCATCAGATTTGTTGTAGGTATATGTATATGTGGCAATATATATTTTGTAGGTAAATGTATAAATGTCATCAGATTTGTTGTAGGTATATTTATATGTGGCAATAGATATTTTGCAGGTAAATGTATACGTGTCAATAAATTTGTTGACATTGCTGTACAAGTCCATTAAGATCTAGAGCGTACGTGGCAAAAATCAAATGCGTGCCAATACATTAGTGTAGTAAGCATTGCTTTCGACATGGTTTCTATATGAGGGTTTCTATATGAGGGTGTGCTCCTACCGTTAGATATGCGAATAGTTTTTCACGTCCGTAGGTCCAGGATCTTCAATATATGAATAACCACGATACACTCATATAAGACTACAGTTTTCCTCGTCCATAGGTCCCGGATCTTCAATATATGAACAAACAGGATACACTCATGCATGACTTATAGACGACTTATAGAAGACTTCTATAACACTTTAGGACTTCTGTGTGCTATAGAAGGCACATACGAGACACATACAAGACATGTGCATGACTCATAAATGACTCATACAAGACTTATGTACGAGACATATATGACTGGTAAAGGAATTTTGTATGAGATATATATGACTTGTACAAGACGTACGTAAGACGTATACGTAGAAGACTCTCAGTTGACACATGACCGGCACAGCAGCAGGATGAAGCACACACAAATAGCACGCGCTTTTGTTCATCGGCTCATGTTTGATCTGAATTTGCGGGTGCGTCAGACAATAAAAACCCCTAAACCCTAAACCCTAAAACACACTTGCATGCTGGCGAAACCCGGATATGTGAGAGTAGAAGATGCGGTTGTGCTGGAAGGTGTACGCCTCAAAGTACTTCTGGCCGATAGTTTGCTCAGGGATCACGCTCCTGCATACGAAAGAATGAGCGATGACTTTAAACTATACACAATACAACCTCTGAAAAACTATACACACGACAACCCCAGAAGACGTGTGTACTTACGTCATGGACCTATGCGATAAGACACCTTTCTACTTGCTATTGGATAGAAAGTAAGACACAGAGTTAAGAAGCCCATCACACTCCTGCATACACGAGAACGTGGATAGAAAGTAAGACACAGAGTTAAGAAGTCCCGCCAGTGGTCAAAGCAGTACGAACATTTGGTACGTTGACAACAGGCAAATGGTGTCAACGAACCATTCGGCGGCAAATTCAGCGAAACAACCCCAAACAAAACGAAACATACCAAACCAACCCCAACCAGAAAAAGGTACAAGTATATAGGAACTCACAATGAGTGTATGTATGGGAACAAACGCATATGTGTGCACTCAACGCATGTCAGAAACATAAGAGCAACGCACAACTATATAGAAAACTGCAAGTAGTATATAACAATTGACACATGATATGTCAACGTATTCAGTGATAGACCATCAACGCATACAGCATCTGCAGATTCGCTCGCGTGGGCACTATGCAGTACTTGTACTCCCATCGCCCCCATCACACTATCAACTTCTTCATTCACAGAAGAAGGCGACTCATTCTGAAACGAGATATTCGGTAGAAATCGTTTGCACCTCCACCCATACCTCATTGATCGATTCTTCATGCTCTCACTGCGATTCTTCATTCCAGATACAAAGCTGTGATCAAGCCCTCTCTCAGACAGGCGCTCTCCCTAGTAGTACGAAAATATAGACGAGATCACGATGGGCGGGGTATGTAAATGAATAGATATGTAGATGAATAGATATGTTAATTATATATATATTTATATATATATAGATCCATAGATACTTGGTTACATACATACATACCTAAAT